CGAGATTATTCCCTGGTAGCAAGTCAATCCCTGAGTCGCTGAAGTGAGTTAGGGTTAAGTCCATTAGTACATCTATGATGAAGTTGAATAGAAATGGGGACAATGGGCATTCTTGACGGACGCCACTAGTCGTCACCACTTCAGATGACAACTCGTGTTAATTCCTACTCCTTGATGCTTTTTGTTAGAATTTTCCATATATTCGGTATAGATGTTGCGCATTTCTACTGTTTATGCATATGGTTGATTCGATGAACAAAGATTCAGTGATTAACCTCTCTTTCTCTCACTAACTATATTACTTCTTAATAATTTCCACCCTGCTGTTTCATTACGTGCAAGTGAAGGCAATGCGGTGGCTGAGCTTTTTTTAAAAAGTTATCTAGGTCTAGCTAAATTTTTATCTTCTAACTGATCCCGATCTACTAGTTTTGTAACGGTAGAAGGTGAAAGACTTGGTTAAGGAATGTCTTTTTGAAATATAGTATCTGTATACAGCCAAACTATGTACACCTCATCTTCAACGCACCATTTGAACACATCTTCTGCGTTGTGCTACTTCTGGCCTTCATATTGTGTTTCTTTCACGTCTCCCATGTTTCTCCGCAAGGCTGTATCATTTGCTTTCGCTGTCATCAAATTCATCTCCCTGCTATTTGGTGTTTTTTTGCCAATGAACATCTCTTTATATACTACTGATAAAGCTTATCAGTAGCACACACCACAATTTGACCTCACAGTCAATGCATGGTATTCTGTAGATTATTTTTCTTAATTGGATCTGTGATTTCCTTAAGTCGATAAAGTTTATCTCTGAGAGGGTTGTTTGATTTAAGCCTCTATCTACTTAAGAATCCCAGGCAGGACCACTGAGGCTACTGAGGCTTTCAATATCTTATTACTAATATTGCTACTACTATTCTTCTTATGGCTCTTAATACATTTTTGAATAATATGTGGTGGGTTATTACTTATTAGCAACCTTTTTGTCATTTCACCGAGCTAAGACTCGAGCACAGTTCACCATAGAGACTCAGTCTGAAGTTCCAGACCAGACTAAGCTGTGCCCTGACAAATCACGCTAGCCTGTTACATGCTGTGACGGTATTCCCGCGACCTTTTGTTGCCAGATATGCTAAGAACTACGGGATTGTTCGCGAGCTAACGGTTGTGTACAAGAAGTCAGTTGGTGGATGATGACTAGCAGTGGAATCGATGGTGGACATTTCGTCCAATTTGGGACTCGTCAACTGGACGTACATGAACTCCCCAGTGAGTGACGGTGTTTCCACTGAGGCTCGGACCCAACACTCATCGTTTCAAAAGCCAAAGCGTTACCCACGAGACTCTCGAACTATGAGAGCTACCTCTTGTACAACGAGTGTTAGTTATTATCTATTTTTCATTCAATTTTGATGTTCACTTTGAATGATTGGAACCAAATATTCGGCCTCCATTGATATCTCACCTTCTTGTGCAGATACTTCGACACTATGGGTGCTGGATCCGAGCCTAAGTGGGAACACCATTACTCACTGGGGAGTACAAGTACATCCAAGTGACGACTCCCAAATAGGATGAAATGCCCACCCTTGATTCCGCTGCTAGTCACCATCCACCTTCAGACATCGTCTGCATACGGAGCCGACATATCAACTTGAGGACGAGGACTTCGGTCTAATCAATCAACGAGAGAGTTCAAACTGAATTAAATAAGGTTGAGGTGCAAGGTTCAAGGAAGTTTGTAAGCCATATGCGTACGCTCCACCTTGATCTTATTTTTATTCCGCTATCTAAATCTTCTGACTAACTAGTTGGGCTCCTGGCTGAATTACGTAAACATTTATCTAGACGTACGTTTACTGATTTTCGATGGTATGAATCAGTCTAATTACTTATTAGAATGTCATGGTTTTCTATAGATCCCCTAGTATCTAACCCACCATGCTGTTTCCTTTTTATTTCACAGTCTAGTATTGCTAACTTACCCTGTTCATTTTCTAACTCAGAGGTGAATTGGATTCTATTATGGGGAGAATTTATAAAGTCTCGCAGTGTTGTACAGTAATATTTACTGATGACTTTTCGTGTAACTTGAAACGATTATAAATAAATTGCAGCAACACTAAAAAAAATTGTGTTTCTCAGTCGCTCACTGATCTGCAGAAGTCTTCAGGACAAGTTCCCACATCTGACCACTTCTATGTATATATGTAAGTTCCAGGCACACCGGTCGTTTGACAAGCATCCTGTCCAAGAGGATTCAAGAGCATTCATTATCCAGTATGGTTGCGAAAAGGCAATATTGGCGCTATAGGGAGTGCGATAATTGATACTGGTCATTCCATCTCAACAAACGCCTCCCGCTTCAAAGTAATCTGCAGAATTAAGAATAACCTACCAAAGGCAATACGGTTTCACCTTCTTTGTATTTCTGAAGCTCTGGTCATTCACATTGAAAAACCGGAGCTGTGTATACAAAAGAGAAATAAATTGTGCTCGAAACGTGGTCATCAGTAAATATTACTGTATAACACTGTGAGACTTTATCAAAATGAAATTTTATCCATAATACTCTACCACAGTACCCAAGTTCCATTCTTATATCAATGAATTGGATTCTACCAACTATTGAAATTAAATATGCGAAGAACTTTGGGATAAGTTCAGATTATATCGTAGTAAATGTATTATTCACATATCATCATCATAACATAAGAGCAGGATTAAACAATCCTAAGAACTTCAATTTCCCAACCATCCATAGATATGTTCGATACTATTCGGGGTATTGGTGATCCTGTTGTCACGTCGATATAAGTATGAAACTTGGGCAATGTGGTACAGCATAACTCCATTATGGATAAGATTTTATTCTGATAAGTCACATAGTAATATTAATTGATAACGTTTCGAGCACAAACTATTGCTCATAACCATATGATTATGAGTGGCAATAGTTTGTGCTCGAAACGTTATCAATTAATATTACTCTATAACACTGTGTAGATAAAATCTTATCCATAATAACACCGTGTGATTTATCAAAATAAAATCTTATCTGTGGTCACGTCATTTGTCTGTCTGTGTATTTTATTTTTAATACAACTGAGGTCAGACATAATTGAACACTTAATATTATTTTGTTTTTCAACTGAGACCTTAGTTCTATTTGCTAGTTCAGGGTAAATGTCCAACGCATTCCTAACTGCCTCCAGGAATGGATTAATCTGAACATTGGTGTACAAACTTGTTATTTGTTGTCAAAAAGTAATTCTACCAGAGGAAAAAGAGATGCACACAGCTTAGCAAAACACCGGCTAAGAATTCACTGGCTGTCTAATGACCTATCAAATTACCCTTCGTTGTTTATCTGTTAAATATTCTATGTCTAAATTTATTTATGGCATAGTTCTGAATACATAAATGAAAGACAATTTATTGGGTGTTGATGACACTAAGGGTAGTAACAAAGGTGATGAGTTGTCACAAACAGTTGTTAAAAAGAAGTTACTTAATAATATGAATAGTCTGGTGATTGAGTTGTACTCAGGATACACATAGAAACAAAGTAGACAATATGAAATATGTAAGAGTTCTAATGAATACAAGAATTATAAGTGATTAGACGAACAAGCACACAAACAAACAAAATTAAGTCATCAAAAACCAACAAAGTTGTTACCATGATAGTAGAAGTGGTTGAGTAATTCTCTTTTGTATGCACAGCTCCGGTTTTTCCATGTGAATGACCAGAGCTTCAGCAATACAAAGAAGACGAAACCGTATTACCTTTGGTAGGTAATTCTTGATTCTGTAGATTACTTTGGAGGAGGCGTTTGTTGAGATGGAATGATCAGTGTTAACCAGGTGTTCAATTACCACACTCCTTATAGCACCAATATTGCCTTTTCGCAACCATACTGGATAATGAATGCTCTTGAACAGGATGTGTGTCGAACGACCGGTGTACCTGGAACTTACATATGCACATAGAAGTGGTCAGATGCGGGATCTTATCCTGAAGACTTCTGCAGATCCGTGAGCGACTGGGAAACACTATTCTTAGCGTTGCTGCAAAGAATGTTTTTCTCAGAGATGATGCGATTCTTCTCTTGAGAATATCGCTTGTTAAATCTCCCTTGAAATCCAAGTTCATGTAAAGTTTCTTTCTCGGTGCAAGTGAAGTTCCATTTCTCAAAATTCTTGGTTTGATATTTTTATCAATGAATTTCGGTGAGTATCCATTTTGGATGAAGATTTCTCTAAAAAGATCTAATTCTGTTTCTAGAATATCGGGACTACAGATGCGTTAAAGCCTTTGCATGTTCACAATTAGTGCATTGATGACCGACTCAGTTGTTTTGTATTCCAAATATCAGTTTTAGTATAAGAGCTTGTGCGAATAATAATAATTATAACTCAGCCACAGTGTGAACCAGTACGACAGATAGACCAATTAGTCAGTCAGTAATACTTCAGTATATTCTTATCGGAAGGTGGAGCAGGGCTCGAACCCACGTCTCATTGGTTGGAAATCCTAAAACCAATCAATGAGTCACAACTGCATATACTTCCTGTAATGTCCTTCCTAAATGGTGTAAAGCAATGTGAACATTGAACGTCGAATCATTGACCTTGGTAGCCATTGGCGGGCAACTCGAAGGCGCGAACGATTCAATCGTGTACAAGTTGGAAGAAGACGAATAAAAGTATACTTGTGCACTACTTATAAAACATTTGTTTATAGACTTCTGTATCATTTTCGATTTTAATTGCTGAACAATATAAGTTACTACAAATACTGGTGTTTTGGAGGTTAAAGTCGAGAATTGATCGTAGAAGTAGTTATCGATTCGGAGCGTCTTCGAGAAAATATTAGGAACTTAGGGTTAAGTTCCTTGACAAACGGCTTATTTAAAATTACACACTACCACATTATTATATGACTACATCTACCTGTCATGTTTCACACTGACAACTGAAGGAAGAACACTCAGTCCAGATCAAATCAACTGATATTTGACATAAACAAATCATTAATATTAATGAATTCATTATACACTTTTGCTAATTCTAAGCCATAGCAGAAACAAGAATTTACAAAAATAAACAGTCAATAAAATGCATAGCACAATATATGATCATAGGGTAAAGCAACAGTACATATATATGTATATATATATAAATGTTGAACTAGATGAAGAGAACAGGAGTTTGATGCAGTTCTACGTGAGATGCAAAATCAAAAAGGAAAAGCATGGAGACTGTTTACTTTGAACAAAACACTCGATGACGTGTGTCTACAGCTTTTTGTTCATGTTATTAAAACAAAACAATAGGTATTACATCATTTTAGACAGACGAAAAAATGGAGAAGGGGAATAGCTAAAATAGATTTCTTACAAAGTATAAATTACATGGCAGGTTGAAAGTCTATGAGAGATATCTCTTGGATGGATGGAAGAATGAATGAATGAAATACAAATAAAAGGCAATAGTTTGTGAGCAGTAGTGTATATAACAAGTGACGAATGATTTTGAAGGCACCACCGGAAGTGTTTGGGCGCACGCGCGGGTGTGTGTATGTGGGTAGGAGGGGGCGGGGGGGGGGGGTAGATGTTTAAAATAAACACTCAACTTTCATCATCACCTCCAGCATATTCTTCTAACAGGGCTGCTTGTTCATAATACTTCATTGCTATACGTCCTTCCAATGCCTCTGTGGCTCCTTCTGCTGCTGACTCATAAAGTTCGTCTACAAGAAAAAAATTCAAAGATATAAATGCAAAAATTATACTAATTTGACGAATAAACAGTAAACACAACCATTCGTAGAGCAACGGCTGTGAACCACACTTATTACATAATTGTTTAAGAAAATACCACCCAGTATCTAGGCATCCAGAGTGAATTAGGTGGAACGGAGTTCTAATAGGAGACTTATTAACTAAACGACAAATGTCTAAGCTGATTGATCGCATCTCCACTATGCGTTTATGTAACACAATATAAATAATATTCACCGTAATGTTATCGATTAGTATTCCCCTCTTTCTTTGTTGTAAAGCTGTTGTTATTTAACACAGTGTTGATAATTTGTTGGTTGTTGTTTATTTTGACTAGAAGAATCCTCCAGACACAATATTCTAACCAACTAATCACTTGAAAAATATTCCCCCACACTGAGATAGACACAGACGTGGGATTGAACTTAAAAAAACTGCGACAACAATAACATCCTTTAACTATTCACTATATATATATATATATATATATGTATATATCTTACACATCCGCGGAAATTTGAACCATAGATAATTAATCAATCTGTGACTGATTGCATGACCTTCAAAAACAAATCAATCAAAAACTGTCAAATCAGGCTATCCTGCCGATGCATGTATCAATCATGACTTTACGGCTGCCTACGATAGGTTTCCCGTTATGGCAGCTATAGACACAATTTAAAATTTTTTATAAGTGTTGGTTTTTTGTGGGGATTTTGTTTGATTGGTTGGAGGATTTCATCATGAGCTGACATCAGTTAGAGAACCATTGGAAAACCAATTGGAAGTACTGGACAGCCGTTTCGTCCTAGTTTAGGACTCTTCAGAAGTACGCGGCCACCACCAGCGCTCGAAACCAGGGCCTTCTGGTTACAAGGCTAGCGAGCTCGTAGGCCATTAAGCCACTGGGACCCAATCCAATGGCTACCCCATGAATTCTAACTTCTGCCAATTCACGACATAGCACGACCATTTCGCAATGTCTTCTTCGATGAGTTACTGCCTCATCTTCAACCTGCTGTACCCTACTGGTCACGGCTTCCCACTAGAACCCCAGGTCACTGCCTGAATAAGGCCAGTCGCTGGTGAGCATCAGATCAATTTTTCTCAAGTATTGGTTTTTGTATTGATCTTTTTTTGATTGGTTGAATGATTTCATCATCAATTTAAAATGGAAAAAGATTGAAGACTGTGGTAAGGCGATGCCAGTATACATGGCCTGTCAGTGTAGCGTGTGCTAGTGTCTACGAAACCAGAATTTGTGCATAGAAAACAAGCTTGTCTTGCTTTCATATCTCTTCCCTACGTCTCCTCTTCACACCTTTATAGTATAATCAGAATTATCTTTTTCTACTTGTATGCTTTATGTTTCTCCAAAGACTGGAAACTTGAGCTGATGCAGTGAATATCTTCAGATTACGTAATGTTTTCAAAATCGATTCATGAAATTATACAATCCATCTTGTAGGAACTGATTCACACATCATTCAACTTTATAATGACCAAGGTTGTTATTTTTAATTGACATTTGTTCTTCATTTTCGAGTAATTTTCACATTTATCAAATTCGACGTTTGTGTTAAACTCATTTTCAAAATAATACAATTTCCATTAAAATCAATCATTTTATGTCGAATCTTTTGTACTTCGAGAAGCTTAACTGCTAATCTGACCGTTAATATTACTGCTGTTATATTGGTTGACAACTCGGGAGTGACCTATTATTATTATTATTGTTCCCCAGGGTTCCAAGTGGAATGTACAGCTTCAGCAGCACACGTCTACTTTGTCCTATTCGCTGTAGTCCTGTCCAGCTGGCCACACGACTGCCCACAGTCTCTTGTCTCCTCAATGTCACCCTCGAACTTATGCCCAACTCACCGTTTCTCTTTCAGGCTCCACTCGATGCCATTTGAAGATCTCATCAGCGTGTCTCATCCTGGATATCTGTTGAGTGACAAGTTCTTGGTTGGTTCCTTAACCATAGTTTCTTGTTGCTGATTCTTTATGAACAGCTGGCCATCCAATCTTCAGTATGAAGCCAGTGAAGGCAGCTGTTGATAAAAATCTGCAGTAGACTGTTGAAAGTGCTTTCCATGACGTCAACGCCAAGTATCTAACTCATATGGCCAATATCATATGTCTAATCTTTGCTAACTGAATTACACCAATCAAATTTGTTTTCTGTCATTTGCTTCCAACCATCTGACATCAACTCCCCCAGTTCGTCACATTGTGGTGGTGTGATACAGACAGTGCGTTCCAACGGAATATTATTCTCACAATAAGAATCATTGTATTTATAGGGTGTTAACGTCTGAATACTATTCCCAGAATTCAATAGTGCATTAGCAACAGAATACTATACATGAATTTGAACATTCTATTTCATGTCGTTTAATGTAAGTCAAAATCACACACTGAGTGATTAGTTAGAGAATATAAAAGTGTGTATAAATATAAATAGCTGTTTGATCACTTGAAAATATACCTTAGCTTCCGTGTCTTGCCTTCTGCTGTTACAACATTAGAGAAAAACCTAGCTCAATTTCCAGAATACTCAAGGTCAAATGATACATTTCAGTCAGTGACAAAATGAAAGACTAAACACGCATGACATTGTTTACTCCCTAGTATCATCCAAGCAAAGTAGGCATTATAGTCCAACAGGAGGTCAGTCAAAAGCCCAAACAGCTCAATAGTAACGCCTCCTTTGACTGCAGCACTAGGTGGCATGGATCCCACTCATTAAAACAGACATCAGTTCCTTCAAGGTTTCAGGCAGATACTCCTTACTGCTGCTTGGTTACTAACAAAAACCACGAGACTTAGGTTCACGACTACCTCCAATCATCTAAGAAAATATGACTATTATCATTTCTAAAATTGTGCGTCGGTGGCATAGCGGATAGGACGCTCGTCGACCATGCACATGGTCCGGGGTCCGACCCCCGGCCGAGGCACTGCTCTACCTTGCTAAGCTAGAAATAATGCTGGTGAAGAGGAAAGGTTGAGCATGAGGCTAGCAACCCCATTCTGTAAAATAAACACTGCTACAGAAACTTCAAGCCACAAATTTCTGAAGAGTAAATTAATTGAAGTAATATTTATGTAATTATATATAGACTGAAAACAGGAGGGATTCATCACACACTTACATGCTTTCATTCTGTCTCTTTTCAAACCATGACCACCTTTAGCATACATTTCAGCTAGACGTCCTTGTAAACGATAAATTGGCCAGTCGGACAAGGAATGAAAACCAGCTCGATTATTTCTAACAAATGGTGGATAACCTTCATTGGGTTCAGTTTCTTCATCACTTCCATCTGATGAAGTATTTACAGTCTTCACTGCCATTTCATACCAATGCGTAGCAGCCAGCCAATCAGGTTTCTTGTTTGTAACATCTGGATTATATACATCTCCATTAAAATTGGCTTCAGCCAAGTATATCATAGCCATACGATCTCCAGCTGAGGCAGCTGTACTAATTAAAGCTAAGCCTCGAGTATGCGAGTCAGATGGATCAGGCTAGTGTGTTTAGCATTTAAGTAAAAATGTACACACGAGTAAGTTACTACAAGCACGATACATGAATCGTTGACATATAATAAATAGATCGATACTTTAAAAGAAATTGTAGAGGACATTAAAGAATTTGTACAAAAGTCTCCATTCTGCCAAAATAAGATCTAATATGAAGAGACTGAGTGAAGTATGCATGTGTGTGTGTGCGTGTAAGCAACAGTATTCATTCGTAATGGTTCATTGTTGGAAAAAGTAAAATCTTGGTGACTGCATTAGTTCTTATGCAGTAAGCGCAGTCAACCTTAGTCGATAGACGAGGTTGTGAAGTTACACCGATTGAGATGGTTAGGATATGTGTTACGCATGCATGTATAGCCATCGCCTACCTCGACAATGGGCAATGTTAGCTGACACAGGGTCAGGCTGGAAGAGAGACAGTGGTGGTCAAACCAAAACATGGCTTCATCAGTCAATGAAATCCACAACAGTTAGTTTAAACCAGCGAAGTAGGAACGTGTAGACTTCCTGACCCGTTGTGGTCCTCAGGACGGTAAAAACCAATGGCTGGAGACAATTGGTGGCATGGCTAAAAATCGTTCTCAATGACTGGCGCAGATGCATCCACTCCTTGTGACTTATAATATCCAATAAAACTAAATGCTTCTTCGATATTACTGTTATTAATACCTCATATCTCTGTTTATTGTCTCTATTTTGCATTTCTGTTTACTCTTTTCTCTTGCTTTTGTGTGCTGAGTGAGGTGTGGTGACTCGAACTGCTGCATATCAGTGCAAAGTTCTGCTTTGAAACCATTCAGTCACCTCAATCTTAGTTTAGTTGGCCGTAGTTATTCATCGGCAGATGAACTTATACCAATAACCATAGAACAAGAGGTGGTTCTCATACCAGAACTAGCAGCTCAGGGGATAACACTACGGTTTTCTGAAATGAGATGTTTAAAGCCCCCGGAGGGATGATTTTGAAATATAAACTCACTTGTTTGTTGCTGCGTCTTCTTACTCTCCACAACTGCTCGTATGCCAATACTTATTCTTTGGTGCATACTTCGGAGTTTGCAAGAACTGTCACATCTTCATCCTAAGAGTACTCAGTCACCCGTTTGGTAACTTCCACAGTGGAGTAAAAATATCATCGAAACCTACCCAGTTGCTGTACCGATGGATTATTTATTATTATTATTTCCTTTAATTCCTAGAGGAACATAGGGCTTCAGCCATGCGTCTCCATTGCGTTCGGTTCTCTGCTGTGTAGTTTTCACCTGGCCCCAAGTCTGCCCACACGTTTTCATCTCCTCTTCACATGACCTCCTACAAGTCACCCTTGCACTGACGACCAACTCGCCGCTTCCCTTTCGGGTTCCACTCGAGCAATGGCTTGTCTAGTGATGTCACTTGATGGTTTGTTTCCTCAGAGTAGGGCCAATCCATCTCCATTTCTTCCTGCCTATTTGTTTCACAATCGGTTCCTGCTGGGTTGGTTCGCTCCCAGAGATCTTTGTTGCTGATCTTTTCTGACTAGCCATTTGATCTTGAGTATTGAGCGAAGGCATTTGTTAATGAAGGTCTGTAGCTTGTTTGAGCTGCTCTTTGTGACACGCCAAGTCTCTGATCCGATGGATTAGATAATTTAAGTTTTGGAAGTTGGACTTAAACCTAATTGTAAACAACTATTTGAAAACTGTAGGCAAATTTGCCCTTTTCATTTCTATATTTTATATAATAATTGAGTTTTGTGTTTAGTCCACAACAGATGTACCCAGTTTGAGTAGCCAACACTATCAAAATGAGATGCAGACATATTCAGTTGATGAACCACATATATAGTGAGAATCATGTGTTATTAATTCTATCGCTAACCACTATTTATTAAATAGTCTTCAGAATTGTTAACCATGTGTTAGCATCAACCTTCTATGGCAAGCGCGTATGCTTCATTTCAATAAAAACTATGGGTTTACTTCTAACACTGTATTCACAATATACGAGTGAGCTAACCAAAGTTTCTGCAATTCAGTAACCCAGTTATATTGATAATGTATGGACTATCGACACTGTTTAGATACTGACGTTGCATCAACCCTGATAGACTGATTCCTGACAAGATCTCAGGACGGATACAAACAGCTTATGTGGCATTTGCCCACTAACGTCATCTCTTGCGTAGATGTGATATCCAGCTTTTGAACAAAACAATTATGTACTGCACAGTGGTTCCGTTCGTCCTTATTAATGGCTTTGAGACGTGGACGTTTAAAGTGGAAGACGCGAAAAGGTTAGTTAGCTGTCATTGATCATAGCTACCTGAGTTCTAACTTCCGTCTTAGGTGGTGTAATGTGGTAAGTGAAATTTTAGTAGGTCATAGAGTATTAGGCAAAAACGGAGTGCTACATCGACTGAGATGGTTAGGACATGTGTTGTGCATGGCCTAAGCATCGCCTTCCTCGACTGACGGTCAACGTTAGCTGAAACAGGATGGATTAGTTTGGAAAAGAGCTATTAGTGGTGGTCAAACTGAAACCTGGGATTTTCGATAGTCAGTTTGAGCCACTTAGGGAGATGTAGGCTGCCTAGTTAGAATTTTCAGGATTCTAAGAATCAATAACAGGGATCTATTGGTGATGTGGCTTAAAAGTTGTTCTCATTGATGGTGCAGATGCATTCACTCCCTGTGATCGCCCGTGTACATTAAACCCCAATGTTTTCCCATGCTATTATTCTTTCTCCCACGAATTCCTGGGTAATACAGTTTTCTTTCGAATCTCTTTTTTCTCCCTTTTGTCTTCCTGGAGGAGACTGTTCACGCTGGAGTGTTTGACGACTTGAACTGTTCTATGTTGAAGCACAGTCACAGTCAGTGAGACAATGAAATCTTAGTTAGTGAAGTCGTCTATAAAGAACTATTGCGCACAAATATCACAGAAAATGAAAATGAACTCACCTTGATTGGACATTCAGATAATGGTCCATCAATCATTAGATTTAAGTAGTACTGTGATAAACATTGAATAGCATCCAGACAACCAAGTGTAGCAGCTTGTTCTTCATGGAATAAAACAGCCTCCCAGTTAACATTCTCAGGTGGATGTAATTCATTCAATCGACTACTGTCAATATCTTCAATATTTGTAGATAATTTATTCCCCTTTACATTACTACATTTCCGATGATAACAACCTGATTGATGCATTAAAGCTAGACGACCAGAGGCGTGTAGACGAGCCAATTCATGATGTATCTGAAGACAATACAGAATGTTATGTAATATACAATATAGGCGAATAATAAAGCATGCATCAGGGAGAGCTCTGTTAAACATATGTGAGATGATGATATTGAACTCAGACTTTACGTAATAATAATAATAATAATTTGCTTTATTCCAAAACAGTACTTGTGATACAGAATGGAATTCTCGGCATTTTTACTACAGCACTGCATCCAGTTAGTACATTATCAATAAATAGAATTCTACAAAGATTAAGGAAATCTCAGTTAATTATGGCAACAACATATTGGCATCTCAGTAGCAAAGCCAAAGTTGAACAGTGTTTGAAGGTGTTAGAAAAGTAGGTGCTATCATATTTACCGGCGTAAGCAGAAGAAAGAAACAAAGCAGCACAAAACGGAAAGAAAGTAAAAGAGAGAGAACAGAAAAAGAAAGAAAGAAAATGTTGTACCTATAAATGATATGAGTTGGAAAGACGAGGTCCAGTTGTACTACTGACTATTTAATGAATTATAGGTGTCACGCCTAATGCTTTCTTTATCGCACAGAACACGAGCTAAGTAGGGTATGGTTGAGTTTTTGTACTTGATGGTGCGAGCATATAGTTTCCTATATAGGCTTCTGGTTTTGCCTGATGAGATGCAAGGGGAGAGTTGTGATAATATTCTTTAGGCAAAGAATTAAGACCATTTAATGTTTGATTATTTTGTAATTCCTAAGTGGTTTAATAAGAAATCTGATTAACACCCAGTAACACCGATCAATATTTTTGATTTCTAACTCAAGCTAGTTGACTAATTCATTCAAACTCTGGTAAATTTATGCTGCAACTTAATAAATATTAAGTCATAATTGAATTATTATTATTATTATCCCAGTGATCATGAGCTCACACTGATATAATAAGTCCCAAACTATGGTGGTTGTGGTGTGGTACAGACTGACAGGAAGCGGGAAAATTTGAAACCAACATTTTAAGTCAATGGTTGGAATTGTAGAAGTGTTTATTCCTCGAATCTGGACGTGAAGTATCCTCATTGGATAATTTTGTCTAACCTTGGGCCAACTACTAACCAATCAAAACAACTTATTCCCTTCCTCACCCAGCTGAACTTTTCGCTAAGAATGTATAAATACAATGCGTTTTTGCTTAATAAAGGGCACATTACCAAGGCCGTTAAACGAAGACGTACTAAGTTATGCAATGTTCCCTAGCATCTTAATGATTGAAAAGTGTGCGGAAATGTATGGTTCATTGACTTGAGTACTCGGCTTTCAGTCAACGACTGCCAAGGTCTGAATCCGCCTCCACGAGCTACTTCAGTCTAGGCAACTGGGTGGCCTCACTGTTGTTTGTGCTTCATATCCTCGTGCATGAAGGATCCCTTCCAAACAGCTAAATAGTGAGTGACAAGTTAAAACTGTGTTGAAATTAAGGAATTAAGTTTGCATGAAATTATAGCAAACGAACTTCCGCTTTTTCTTCTTTTCAGTCAAAATAACACGACGTCATCAAGTCACAAATTGAAAACAAATAGGAATGCGTTATTATTTACCATAACAAAAACAATAATAATAACAATTTTAAGTTACATCATGGACTGACATTAGTTAGAGAACACGTGAAAGTCGAAAAGAACGATACAGCTGTTTCATCCCACTTGGGTCTCTTTTCAGCAGTGCGCACTTTTCACCCTATTGATGATCGAACTCAGAATATTCGCCTTCCAATGTCAGTTAACGATTTAACTTGAAAAACAATAAAACTTATTTTATTCAGTATAGAATAATTACGTAGTAGTGTAAGAATTAGACTGGTTATGTGTGCACAGCATAAATGATGTTCTCTAGTTGCCTAAGAGAAATTGTATGTGGGCATATTTCAACTTTAGTATTCACTGCAAAAGCGAAAAATTTGGAAGGAAACAAAGGTAACTACAGATTAGAGGGAGGGAAAGTTACCTTGTAAAACTACGCCTTTGCAGAAACTGGCACGGAATCACGCTGTTGTCCACGCCAAGCAAAATATTAAGTCACATCATCCTGGAGAGACTAAAACATGGACTAGATGCAGAACTCCGACTGGAACAAGGTGGATACAGGGAGGGCGAATCATGTGCGGATAATATTGCTACCCTACGCATCAATATCATCATCGAACACAGCGTAGAATGGTACTCAAATCTCTACCTAACATCGTCATCGACTTTGAAAAGGCCCTCAACGGCATTGTGATCGCAAAGTAATTTGGAAACTAATTCAACACTATGGAGTAAAGTGCACCGTATCTTTATCAACTTCATTCAACAGCTATATGACTATGGCACGTGTCAGGTGATCCACAACGGGAAACTCATCAAACTCTTTGGTGTGAAGACAAGACTGTTGATTATCAAAGACGACATTCCTAGTTTTCATGGACTGGATTACACTGAACACCGTCGGGAACGACAAGATAGGAATATGTTGAACCATCAAGAAGACTCCAGAGAATCTGAATTTCGCGACCGACTTATGTCTAATGTCACATTAACTCAAAGACTTACAGGCGAAAACCAACAAACTGAAAGAAGACGCAGGCAGAAAAGACAAAACATAGGGAAGACGGAGGTGATGAATACAACCAGCTACCAGCAGCAGCAACAACAACAAGCACCAATCACTATCAACGGAAGAAATTTGGAAGAGGTCACCACCGTCGCTCATCTAGGTACCACCATCCTCTCAACTAAAGCCACACACCACGAATGACGATGTCAAAACCAGGCAGGATCTGAGAGACGAGATAGACCTTCATTATCACTTTGAAATCAGTTTGGGAATCTTCTGCGCTCTACCTCAACACAAACAGCGAAATTCGGACTTTCGACACCAATGTTAAGTCAATCAATTCTTCTGCAATATGGGTCAGAAACTCGGCCGGCGCGTCACAAAGGGCATTTCCAACAGCTGCCTCTTCCAATACATATTGAAGATCAGATTGCCGGCTAGACATTAAAAATTAGCACCAAGAAACTCTGGGGACGAACCAATTAATAACCTATTGTTCAACAAATATGACGAAGAAAATGGAGATGCATAGGACACACACTGTGGGGACCATCGAATTACATCGCCTACCCGAGTGGAATCGGAGTAGAAAATGATGAGTTGGACTTGTGTCCGAGGGTGACATGTTGGAGATCGTCTGAGGAGGAGATGAGAGATTATGGGCAATCGTGTACCCAGCTAAAGAGGACATGAAAAAATGGAAATGTGCTGTGAAAGCCCTATGCTCTATTGCCGAGGTCTGCAGTTTGTTCTAACCACTGCTGGGGAAGTCATATTATTCATTTGTATACGGCTCAATGTACACTGGTAACCACAGTGATGTTTTTTCTTCGATTTTTCAGGACGACTCAACACGATAGGCTGGGAAGATTTTAAAAAGATGCGGTTATAAATAATACGATTTGAAGTCATTAGTGATTTGGGTAGTGTTATTAGAAGGGATTATCTGAAAAATGTGATGTATTTGCGCTATACATTTCGAACAATCTGATCACACGTTTACTTGTCAAGGCGGAAACAAAGAAGTATTTTAACATCAACTCATTTTAAAGCCCTGAAGGAATGACGTGTGTGTGGACACACATACATAGGGAGGAGTAATCGTGCTTTGCATGTGAGGGTGGGAGAGCATATCCCGAAATGGTTAGAAAAACAAATGAATTGTGGAAAACCAATAGACGCAGGTGTCAGACTACCAACTTCGTCTATAGCTAAACACCTAATCGAGATGAACCATAAGATTGATATTAACTCAGCATTTAAGGTTATCTATAAAAATGGTCAAGGGCGCTTATTGAAATTTAACTGCCCTTAATTTTTTCATATATATCGCTTTGACAAGTAAATGTGTGCGGAATCAGATTGTTCGAAATGTACATCGCAAATACATCACATTTTTCAGATAATCTCCGTCTTCTAATAACGTTATCCAAATTTATAAAAGGGACTAATGGCTTTACATTAGTGATTGATTAGAACACAATTATAGGAGCAAATCAGAGCAATATGTGGGTGGCTTGATGGAAGATGGCAATTTTCGATAGACAAAGGTCCAAGCAGGCGGTCCTTCAGTATATATATATATATATATCACACGAAAAAAAATAAGGATTGTTTGACGTATAAAAACTTTAAAAAATGAAGGTAAAAAGCATATGATAGTGACAAACAAAAATAATCACAAGCATATTACACATCTTGTCATCTTCTCCGTGTAAACATACGAGAACAGCCGTACATTCATAGTGGTTAAACAATTCACAGTATACAAGATAATATATTTAGACTTAAGACTTTCTTAACTTTTTCTATTCTGATCAATTCTGTTAATTCAGAGAAGCGAGAAATATCAAAAAACACACCAGAAAGTGCGATTCATTTATGCGAAACAATTAATATCACTGTCCACGTATAATAGAAATAAAGTTAATGATTCAAATGGAAAAAGTGTTAACAACAGAGGTAAACGAATGGAAGATAAACAAAACGGGTTAAAAATATAATTTCAAGCGAAGTTAACTAACGCAAATCACCACCTAAGGGAAATGGTATAAATGAATGAACTTGACAAAAGGCAAGGAGTGAGGAAAGATAAATATCCATTTATCAAGTGTTGGTTTGCAGGGGGTGGGATTTGATTGGTTACAAGTTTGATCACCACCAGCTGACATCAGTCAGAGAACCATTGGAAAACCAACTGGAAGTACTGGACAACAATTTTGTCCAGCAGCAGTGACCTGTCGAGGTTTGAACTGAAGACCTTCTGGTTACAAGGCAAGCTCGCAGGTCATTCAGCCAGTCACGGTGAGCATCAAATTAAATTTCAATTGTTGGCCAGCAGGGATTTGATTGGTTGGCCTTAGAGCCGGAAGGTCCTGGGTTCGAACCCCTGTGGTGGATACGTACTACCGACGGTTCCCAAACTAGAACGAAACAGCTTCCCAGCATTCACAAGTTTT